CCAATGACTCCCAAACCAGTTGGCTTTAGGGCACTAGGTGAAGAAACACCTCTAAGAGCATACTTACTCAAGTAACAAAGGCCACGAAACATTTGACTTTTTTTTTTTTCAAAGCAGTTTCCAAGGATAATTAGACAGGATAGTCATCACAAAAACAATGGCCCCTACTCACAAGATGCATATAATTTCCAACCAAAACAATTATAAAGTCAAAGCCCTCAACTCCTCTCATCAAGGTATTATTAAATTTTGACCTAATCATAAAAAAAGAACAATATCCCTCACTTGCAGCATCTATGCAACAAAAATATGTATAGGCTCATCTGACTATATTCATACCATGCTGGAAACTTAAACTCGCACACATGCATCCAATATTCTATCACTTCAAACCACAACAAAAGCAAGAACACAAAAAAATATCCTCCCCCAAACTTAAAATTAACATTGTCCTCAATGTAAAAAAATTAAATAAGAGAAGAAAGACAATACTCCCCTATCTTGCTCTTCTTGTTATAGACATGCAGTGTGTTCCTCTAGAGCCAAAAGTTCTTGTTATAGTTGTCTAAACTGCTACAAAAAGGGTAATAAAAAGCTAACCCAGCCAAAATTAGAAAAAAGAAAATGAATAAAAGAATTGAATAAAAAGAAAATGTCAAAGAACAAACTTAAAAAAAAATGAATAAAAGAATTAAATAACTCAATGCAAAACAAAAAAATGTCAAATAACAATTTTTTTTTTTTATGGGTTGCCTCCCATTAAGTGCTTCTTTATAGTCATTAGCTTGACTATCACTGCAAAATGATCAAGGGTCTTTCAATAAAATGGTGGAATTAAATGCTGGAAAATTACCACCTTCAACATAAATTTTCAACCTTTGGCCATTTACCTTAAACGTTCCCTTAGTATCATGTGAAATTTCAACAACTCCATAAGGGAAAACCTTAGTCACCACAAAAGGACCACTCCATCAGGATTTCAACTTACCTGGAAAGAGTCGCAGTCGAGAATTGAAAAGAAGAACCTTGTCACCCACATGAAACTCTTTCTTGTGCACATGTAGATCATGCCATGCCTTGGTTCGTTTCTTGTAGATCTTGGCATTTTCATAGGCAGCAAGTCGTAATTCTTCCAATTCATTTAACTGCAATTTTCTATGTTCACCTGCATCTTTCAAATCAAAATTCAAGTATTTAATAGCCCAATATGCCTTATGCTCAAGTTCCACAGGAAGATGACAAGCCTTACCAAAAACTAATCTATAAGGAGACATACCTATCGGAGTTTTGTAAGCTGTCCTATAAGCCCAAAGTGCATCATCTAATTTGAGTGACCAATCTTTCCTAGACAAGTTAACTGTTTTTTCCAAAATTCTTTTCAATTCCCTATTAGACACCTCAACTTGTCCACTTGTTTGAGGGTGATATGGAATAGCAATTTTATGGGTAATACCATATTTAGCCAATAAATTTTCAAATTGCCTATTACAGAAGTGTTTACCTCCATCACTAATAACAGCCCTAGGTGTGCCAAATCTAGTGAAAATATTACTCTTCAAAAATTTAACCACCACCCTAGCATCATTAGTAGAACATGCAACAGCCTCTACCCATTTACTCACATAATCTACCGCAACAAGAATATATGCTTTGCCAAAAGATGAAGGAAAAGGACCCATGAAATCTATGCCCCAAACATCAAATATGTCACACACCAAAATATTAGTCAAAGGCATTTCATGTCTCCTAGAAATATTACCAGTTCTTTGGCATTGGTCACATGCACTTACATAAGCATAAGCATCTTTAAATAAAGAAGGCCAATAAAATCCACATTGCAAAACCTTAGATGTTGTTTTGGAGGCACCAAAATGACCACCAACTTCTTTGTCATGACAAAAACTCAAAATTGCATTTACCTCTTCTTGTGGTACACATCTCCGAATCATTCCATCGCCACATATCTTGTAAAGAAATGGTTCCTCCCACAAATAATGTTTAATATCAGAAAAGAACTTCTTGTTCTGTTGAAAAGATAAGTTAGGAGGTAAGACATTACTCACAAGATAATTAACAAAATCTGTGTACCAAGGTAAAGAAGACAAAGCACACAAAGAAACTAAACACAATTGCTCATCTGGAAACTCGTCAAGAAAAAGTTGATCATCCCCACATTCCACATACACCTCATCTATCCTAGACAAATGATCAGCAACAGAATTTTCTACACCTTTTCTATCCTTAATTTCTAAGTCAAACTCTTGCAGCAACAAAATCCATCTCAACAACCTAGGTTTGGCATCTTTTTTAGCAAGCAGATATTTAAGTGCAGAATGATCAGTATGAACAATC